GATGTTTTAATTTTAGGGTTCCTAAATTATATAACATTATAATATTTAAAAATGAGAAGTATTAAAAAAATTATGCTACACTGATAATATTCGGTCGGTCGGTTATTGAGAATCTTGTAGCTTCCGACCGACCGACCCGTCGATTCTGAAATTTCAGAATTGACCTCCAACCGACAATGGATGAAAACCAACCGACCGACGTCAGTTCGGTCTTTCAACGGCGATTGCTCACCCCTACTTTTATGTGTGGTACAGATATTATTGTTTTCCGTTTCCTATTTTTTGTTTCTAGTTTCTTCTTTTTAAATAAAAGATAAACATAAATGCTCATGGTAATTGTTTCTTATTTAAAAAAGAAACAAAAATTATTCAATAACCATTTCTTGTTTCTCGTCCTCTACAATTTTATTTATTTATTTATTTGATAAATGTTCTCTACAATTTTAAATTAAAAAGGTAAAAGTTTTGTATGTCAAATTATTTTTTAAATTAAATATTCAAAATTTTTATGTTTTATTAATTTTTTTATATTTATTATGCAATTTATAAGTTAAGATGATAAAAATAATAATGTTTATTTATATTTTGAAAACAAATTGGAAACGAAACCAGACAAATCAAGAAACAGGTAACTCAATTTTGTTGTTTCCAAAATTTCTATATAATTTTATAAATGTTTCTTAAAAAATAATAAAAGAGAAACATGAATGGTTGCCAAAACATTTATGTTTCTTGAAAATTAAAAACGAAAAATAAAAAACAAGAAATAAAAACGTTACCAAACGGGCTCTAAATAATCATGATGAACTATTTCTATTTAACTAATGAATTATATATGCAGTTGAAAATGGATTATAACATATCCTAACTTTTGGTTTCAAAACGTTTTTCCAAATCACAGCTAGATTTCCATAAACTCGAAAAGAATCATTTTTCATTAATCTATGTTTCCGTACTCAAATTTAGCTAATCTATATATAATATAATATAATAAATAAAGGTTGAACAAAAGCACTTATTTTAAAGATACTAATTATTATTATTATTATTATTATTATTATTATCAAATTGATCTTTTATTAACCTACCAATAATTTATGCCTATTAGAATAAGGAAGCATTGGGACTTAAAATTACAACTTAAGGGCCTTTGCTTTTGCTTACCCTTAATTATATTAAGGTTAAAAAAAAAACATGTGAGAAGGAGCATCTTTTGAGGGAAAATGCATGTGATTTCATGCAAATTTCAAGGGGAGAGAACTTTAGATATATATATATATATATATATATCTATATATTATACTTTGCTTATATTGTAAGATTCAACATTTATTTTTCTTAAAGCAAACATTTCGAACAACTGTTTATTTGGAGAATTTGGTGCCTTTTACTAAGAAAGTAGTTTGGCCATTGGCTTTGGATTGTGATCGAAATTAGGCTTACTAAAAATAACACACTCCCAAGCAACCTTTTAATTGTTCTTCCTCACATATTAAATAAGTAGCCTATAATTAGCTAGCTTGGCCTAGTGGGCACAAATTTAGATTGGTAAATTTGACCAAAAAACTTGCATTTTAAAATGCCTTTTTAAATTTTCTTTTAAGAAAATTATATTAAAAATAAATAAATATATATTGGTATAGACCACTTAACTAGGTTCACATTGTCATGTTAGAAAATTGAATAGTTATTTGTATAATTTTGGCGTATTTCTTTAGCATGGGGGAGAAATAATTGTAAATTAGGGTTTTTCTTTCTCATAAATTACGTGTAAAAAAAATTCTCATAAATAAAAAGTATTATTAATTGGTTGGTTCCTTGATATATTTTGTTCGGGTGTTTTAATAACATCTTTGAAAATTTAAAGAAGACTCTGATTGAAAATGATTTTATTTTTATTTTCAAAAATTGTGTTTATTTATATAATAAGTGTCTTTGATTTGTAGTATACCTTTTCAAACATATTTTTTAAAATTTTAGCAAAATCCTAAAAATTGGGAAAATTTTTATTTTTAAAGTGATTTTGTTTTGTTTTTGAAAAAACACAAACCTAAAAAAAATGTTAGTAAATAGATTTAATTTTAATAATTAGAAAACTGAAAAAAAAAATTGTCATCTTACCAGCATAATTGTTTATTTGAATGATAACTTTTTCATTATTCTTTTACTTTCCTGTGGTATTAAGGAAAAAACATATATATATATATATATAGTTATTTAAGTGTTGGTTATCTTCATATTTATAACAACAATTCATTATTCTTTTGAAAAATAGAAAAAAATATATCTCATTTCTACATTTCTCTCTTTAACATTCCAAAATGTGATGATTGTCAGCAATATTTATATATATATATTTGAAGATTGTCAGCAAGAATTAAAGTTTCTCAAATATTGGAAAAAATATGGTAAATACTATATGACCATGGTGATTTATCATAATTATTAATTAATTAAATATACATACGAAACGTTACTCAATGTTAAAAAAAGGATCACCAAAACTTTTGTAGGCCTCTTTCGGTTTTTTTTTTTTTTTTGAGCAGAACCTCTTTCGTATTCTATGAATCAAAAGAAAACTAAAACAAAAAAAAACTAGATTTCAAAATTTAATATTATACATTTGATAATTGTTTTTTATAATTAAGCATTTAATAATAATAATGATTTTTCTTTTTTTTAGGAAAAAAGTCAAAATTTATCCATAAACTTAGAAAGTTGTATTAATAGTTATGGTAACATGTACATTTCATTATATTTGACCATAACCATAATTAAGTGTTGCAATTTTTACTCTATTCAGTTAATTCACCTACAGATTTTAACACAAAATAATGTAGAAAACTTTAAACAACTCACTAATTTAAAATAAAAATGAGTTTTTAAAACAAATTAAGTTTTATTAATGTACTGAATCGACCGTTGAATAAATTCGTCAAAACTTACAAATTTTATCCAATCTAATGCAATTTTTATCTAAATCCTATCAATTTTTCATATCCTATGTTTTATGACCCATAGAACACACATTGTTTCAACGATTATTCAAACAAAAATCTAGATCAATATGGTAAAAATGGCAATATTTTTAAATTTTAAGGAGAAAATAGCAATACATATCCATGTTTAATATGCAATTTGATGAAATTAAAAGTTTATAGTAAAAAGGTAATTTGATGAAATTTCATCCAAAGTTTATGGTAAAAATTGATAGACCTAGCAAAATTTAGGATAACTTGATCTTTCCCCTAACTTTTCTTTGTTTACTTTTTCACCTTGTAAAAAAAACTTTAACTTTAAAGCCCTAGCCCAATTTTTAGAACATGAAACTTTTTTTTTTAATTTTGGGTAGGATTTCTGAAACGTTTTTAAAATATAATATACACAGAAAATAAAAACTATTGGTAAGCATTTATAGTCTTATTTTTTTAATAAAAAAAATTATCAAACCCTAAATCGTTGGTCTTCTGAAAAAATATGATTGAAGATTTTATTTCTTATTCTCTCGTTGTCATTTATATATATAAATTCTATATCTCATCATAATTGTCTATGATATTTTTGGAAGGATACTTACATACAGAGATACACATGTTATACCTACAATATAATATGTACACTAACGTATACTATATATATACTTATCTATCTATGTATAGATGATAGGCGTTGTCGCTCTGCCAAAACGAGCATAGCTCAATGATAATTTGCATATATCTCAAATCAATAGATTGTGAGTTCAATCATTCACCTCACATATTGTACTAAAAAAATAATAGTAAAAATAGACGTTGACGCTCAATTAAACGCATTGAAAATTTGAATAGTTTTTAAATTATTACCAAATCTCAGCTAATAGGTATATGACAAAATGTATCACATCCAAGTCAAATAGGAAGATTAACAAAATGAAAATAGGTAAAAATTGTATACTTAATAATGAAGCATCCATCATGTGTGATTAAATTACAAATGAATCCTCCCTCACCAAAAAGGAAAAATGAAAAAGAAAAAAAAAATTGGCACAAAAAATATACTTCTTAAGTAATGTGTTTCATAACAATCCTTATTTTAAATATATTTTGAAGTTTAATTTTGAGAGAACCACCCAAAATTGTGGCTCTTTTATTGTATTTGAATTTTTTTCTCCAAATTTCTGTCTTTTTTTTTTCTTCATGCAGAAAATTCAAGATCAATAATCCATCGAACTAATGGACTATATAATATACTTTGTAACGATAATAATTCAATATTATGCATACTCACACATCCCGTATACACAAAATTTACCGCGGTCGCAGTGGTGGTTGCACTGCCCGCAGTGGCGCTTGTCATAGGCGACGTCCACACATTGTCCCCTGCAGCACTCCGCCGTGTACTTGCACTTGTTCTTGCATCCGCCGCAATTGTGTTTGTCATTCATCAAGTTCACACACTTGTTGTTGCAACACTCCCACCCTTTTCCATGCATTTTCTCGCACATCTTCTTGTTCTTATGGCAATGGCTGGCCGATCTAGGGTTTTTCACATCCTGCGCCAAGAATCGGCTCACGCTCCTCGACAGCAACGACATCGTCGTAGCAGGTCCTTTCTCGACAATGGGTGTTGTCGATGACGCTATTGTCTGTGTCTGTGTCGTCGTTGTCGACTTTTCGAAGCTTCTCATGGTGATGGTGATGGACAAAGTCACGGTTATGGTTATTATGATCATTATTTTGATGACTTCCATGGCTTCGCCGATGGAAGTTTCGATGAGGAAGGAAGAATGGTAGATCGGTTCGGTTCTTGATATCGGATTCTTGGAGAGAGAGGGGGAGGGGTAGGAAGTTGAGGGAGGAAGACTTTGATGTATATAGATGGGCAAAAGGGAGGGCAAAGAGTGTGGTTGAATTATAGGGCAATAGCCCTAAAGTTTAATTAAAAATAAGGATTAAAAAGTTTCATTGCTTTGGGACAGTTCACAAAACTTGTTTTCTACATAATATTAATCAATGTCACAGTTCAAAAAGTCAAAGGGGTAAATCTGGGATTTTAAGAAATTTAGCGTCTCCATGAAAGAGCTGACCAGAGGAAATTAAGGCATGCTGCTAGGCTAAGCAAAGGAAGTGGATTTGCAATGCAAAAATGGGAAAATAAAGACACAAATTTGAAGCAAAAGAGATGGCCTTTTAATTTAAATTAATAATAGTTGTGACTTGTGGTGTGTGTTGTGTGTTTTCTTAGAACCAAAACATTTAATTTAATTTAATTTAAATGTATTAAAAGAGAGCATAAAATAAGCAACAAATTTCACACAGAGGCAAGCAAAGATAGCACGAGAAAATGAGAGTTATGAATGCAAAGTTTTAATGAATTTTCAAGTTGACTAACTCTCAAGAATCACTTAGTTATATATTGAGACACGTATTGCATGTGGGAACCATACGCATACCATTTTCCTTTTTCAAAGTCGATGGGCTAAGAGACTACTTTTCCAATAAATCTTTTTATTTTATATGTGGTGAGAGTCTGAGAAAAATTGTAGGTTTGTTAGATAAGAAAAATATCACACGTATATAAATAAGGATAATTATTTTTATTAGTGTACGAAATTTTTTAGGTAAATCAAAGAGCATAAACTTAAAATAGATAATATCACACAATTGTGGAACACCAAGAGGTCGTTTAAATTTTCATATCACTTTTTATTTAATATTTAGTGATTCTAGCAACTTAATTAGGAACTTAAATGTATGAAGGATGGAATCGTAATTTTTAAAAGATTATGAGGAAAATTGAAAAAAAATCATTTGGGAATATAAAGTGTATATATGGCAAATTAATATATATGTATATTAAATTTTGGACTAAGGACATCATTATTTTAATAAGAGTGAGCTTGGAATTGTTATTATTATTTAAAAATTTGCAAGTGAATTTTGGTAGTTAGCATAACTGTGCCTTTATTTGTTCATGGGCTATTGATAGCACACTCTAGGCTATTTATATACAATATTCGAGCTTAAGTATTTAGAATATTTGGAGATTTTATAGGACTAGAGGATTTGAAAGAAACCTAATATGAGATGGTCAATGTTTTAGGCTTTATTTGGAGCATTTAACACATGCAAAAATTAATTCACACATATAATCTGATATCAACTTGCAAATTTCCAATGGTTCAAAGTCTTCAATCCAGCACTATAAATTCACACAAACTTGAAGAGGAGGAGAGGGAGTAGTCCAGCCTATACGAAAGAGTTAGACAAAGTTATCAAATGAAAATCTCTACCGAGTATGGTATTGATCTTCTTCAACTCGAGAGAGTCGGGTGAAACTAGCTAGTAGGGGACAACCTTTGTATTTCTCATTTATCTGTGCTTTCAATTTCCTGCTTGGCTTTGTATTTTGTTGACATTTTTCGTTGAATGGCAATCTTTTCACTGATTTCATTTTCAAGTTTTGTCACTTTAATCTTGAGCTAAATTCTTCTTCTTTTTTTTTTCTTCCAATCGTTTTTCTGTAAAATACAAGTTTTAGTAGACTATTGCGCTGGCCACTTCAAGGTTTAATTCTCACTCATTTAATTCTTCTTTGTTACTTGAATTTGGCCACTTAAGTAGTCAGAATAACTTTGACTTGATTCTGGAAAGGTTACGTTGTTTTTTTATTTGAATGAGATTGAGGGTGGCAAAGTGGTGGGATTATTAAGAGAATTGCTTCGTCAACTAATTTGAAGCTGGATGATGATGGGTTTTAAAGTTTTATCCTGAGTCAGATTTGTACTTGGTCTTAAGAGGAATTTAATCTCACTTGGTTAGACAAAGTTGGTTTTGACTACACATCATAAAATGGAACTCTTCTGGTTCGTAAAGGTGCCTCTATAAAACTAAAGGGCATCATAAGAAATGTTCTATACGTGTTACAAGGAAGGAAGAACTCTTGTTGGTGAAATGAATGTAGTTTCTGATTTAAATTCTAAGCAAACTCAATTGTGGCATATGGGTCTACATGCTTAAGACAAAAGATGAAACTTTTGAAAAATTTGTTCATTGGAAAACATTAGTTGAAAACCAGACGGGCAAGATAAAAATGCTCAGAACAGACAACGGGTTGGAATATCTAAATGAAAAGTTTAATAGTTTAATAGATATCTAACAGTTCCTCGAATCCCTCAACAAAATGGTTTGACTGAACGGTATAACAGAACTATTCTTGAAAAAGTTACGTGCATACTCTCATGCAAGATTGCCAAAAATATTTTGGGGAGAAGCAGTTAGTGCAGCTGCCTACTTGATTAAGCATAGCCCTTCAAAGCGTTGAATTTTAAAACTCCATCAAGAGTTTTGGACAGGCAAGCCTCCAAGCTTGAATCACCTTAAAGTTTTTGGAAATGTTGCCTTTGCACATATAAAACAGGGGAAGTTGGATCACTGAGCAAAGAAATGCTATTGAATTTAATCTAGACATATTGCAAATACATGAATTATCAATAAATTACATACATGAATTATAGGATACATGAATCATTAGATACATTGATTAATGTCCATGTATTAGTGAAGGGTCACATGTATTGATATTTACTATTAGTGTCTTTTTGTTTATTTTCCTACTAGTATAAATATGTGTAGGATTTGTCATTTGTAATCAATCTCAACGAAAGCAAAGTCACTTTCAAAATACAAGTTCGTGTTTCTTCAATTTAGTGTGAGTAAAAGAACAACCTTTTTTTTCTTGTCTCTTGAATTGTGTTGTGAGGGACTACTTCGTTTCTAACAAGTGGTATCAGAGTTAGTTCCAGAAATGTCGTCAAATGGTAACATGTTGCAGCCCCAACTTCCTAAATTCAATGGGAAGAATTTTAGTCAATGGAGTATTCAAATGAAAGTGTTATACGGCTCACAAGATTTGTGGGATATTTTCGAAAGGGGATTCGTTGAAGTTGAGAATCAAGACGGGCTCACGAACCAACAACTTTCTGAGTTGAGAGAGAATCGTAAGAAACACAAGAAGGCATTATTCTTTATTTATCAAGYTGTTGATGAAGGAATCTTTGAAAGAATTTCAACAGCTACTACTGCAAAGGAGGCTTGGGATATTTTGCAATCAACCTATCAAGGAGAGGATAGGGTAAAGATGGTAAGATTACAAGTCCTCAGATCCAAATTTGATTCCATAAAGATAAAAGAGACTGAAAGTGTTGAAGGATTATTTAATCGTGTCCTTGCGATTGTCAACAATTTAAGATCAAATGGAGAAGAAAAGACCGATCAAAGTGTTGTTGAAAAGATTCTTAGAAGTATGCCAACAAAGTTTCAGCATGTTGTTGTTGCAATTGAAGAGTTAAAAGACTTATCTACATTTTCGTTAAATAGCTTGATGGGTTCTCTTCAATCCCATGAGCTTAGAATAAAACAACATGATGTTACTTCTCCTAAGGAAGCTTTTCAGATGCAAACCTCCTTCAGAGGCAGTTATTGCGGAATACGTGGCAGTCGTGGTGGTCGAGGAGGTGGAAGAAACTATGACAATAGAAATTGTGCGAGTTATGAAAACAAGCAAGAAAACCCTTCTTCATTTCGAGGAAGATGAGGTAGAAGAAGAGGAGGTTTTGGTAGAAACCAAGGAAGTGGTCGTGGCAATTTCTCTCACATCAAATGTTTTAATTGCAAAAAGTATGGTCACTTTCAAGCAGATTGTTGGGCTCCGAGAAATGAAGATGGAAATTATAATTCTACCATGATGCATAAGGAGGAGAAAAATGATGAAGGAGTTCTATTTCTTGCATGTAGTGCTCAAGAAAATGTTGAAAAGCCTACATGGTATCTTAATAGTGGTTGTAGTAGCCACGTGACAGGAAATAGAAGTATATTCGTTACTTTGGATGAATCTTTTCAAAGTGACGTGAAAATTGGTAATGATACCAGATTGCAAGTCAAAGGTCGAGGTGATATTCTCGTTATGACGAAAAAAGGCACCAAACGAATTGTGGATGTGTTCTATGTTTTGAGTCTGAAGCATAATCTTCTGAGTGTTGGTCAATTGCTCCAACGAGGACTCAAAGTTTCATTTAAAGATGGTGTTTGTGCAATCAAAGATCAAAGTGGCATTCTTATTGCCAATGTGAAAATGACGGGTAATAAAATGTTTCCTATGAAATTTTCATATGATCAAATTGCTTGCTTTACTAGCATATTAAAAGATGCATCTTGGCTTTGGCATTTTCGATACGGTCACTTAAATTTTGGGTCATTATCATATATGTGCAAAAATCATATGGTGAGAGGCATTCAAAATATCAACCATGAGACAGATATGTGAGGTGTGTATTCTTGCAAAACACCATCGGGATTTGTTTCCAATTGGTAAAGCTTGGAGAGCCTCCAAACCTCTTGAACTTATTCATACTTATTTGTGTGGTCCCATGCGCACAATATCAAACGGAGGTAATCGTTATTTCATAACCTTCATTGATGATTTTAGCAGAAAATTGTGGATTTATTTTCTGAAAGAGTATAGTGAAGCATTTGAATGTTTTAAAACTTTTAAAGCTTCTGTTGAGAATCAAAGTGGTCATAAAATAAAAACATTGAGATCTAACCACGGTGGAGAATATATAGTTTTTGATAACTTTTTCAAGGATCATGGTATTCATCATCAAAAGACTATTTGGATGACTCCACAACAGAATGGAGTTGCAGAAAGAAAGAACAGAACAATCATAGAGATGGCTAGGAGTATGTTGAAAGCCAAAAAGATGCCAGATGAATTTTGAGGAGATGTTGTTGCATGTACTACTTACATCTTGAATTGAGCTCCAACAAAGAGTG